TTCCTCAGAAATTTCACCAAAAAAATTCTGCTTGTGTACGAAGCCTGCAGCGTATCGGCGGCAGTCGCGTCCGTTATGGCGTTTGCGATGATTTTACAACAACTGTTTCGCGATTTTTGTAATTTTACGGGAAAATCGTAATCGTTTGATATTTTTGTAAAAACATCATCAGGCAGAGCGTAAGCACACAATTCCGATAACGCGTAGTCGTCGTCGTCGTCGTTCTACCGGACGAAATATCTATTTCACCAGGGTCACACGAACGCGCTGTTACTAATTGTGTTAAAACTCTTGGTTTTTCTCTCGAAAATATTACCACGACAAGTCGAGATCGCCAAACGAAAATGCAACAGTTTTCGCTTGTGCGATTTCTGTTGGACCCGTCGTCGCGATCGCTGTGAATTTTACCATATGACTCGGCGCCGATGCAAATACGTATCGTATTTAAAACGTTATTTTAATAACAACGCGTCGTTGGATTACGACAAACTAGCGAACATGTCGATATACGAGATAGAATTGGATTTGCGCGTGGAATACTCAAATTTGTATTTCAATGGCTACATCAATTGCAGACACGATAGACGAAACGAACTGCTGGGGTATTTATCTCGTGGTAAAAGCATACTCACCCGGCATTATTGGAAAGAAATGATTTTACAACTTAAAAAAAATCTCTTACCAACAAAAATATTACATACGCGATAAATACGACCTATTCGACGCGACGACGACGACGACGACTTCATATTCCGATAATATCGGATCTATTTATCGTAATCATAACAACCTCGATATATACGATCTTTGTAACTATAACAATACCATGAGCATCGACAACAACGAATTGATGCGTATTTATTATAATCTACGAGGCGTGGAATTATGGTGAGAGCCGCTCGGCGTTCGATACGACTACGACTGTTGCTGCTGTGCCGTTTGGTTGCCGTTCGACTGCGGCAACATACCGACAACAACGATTACCATCGCCACCGCAAACGCAAATCCAACAAAAAATTTGTTTACTTTTAACTTGATTATATTTCATTATATTTTTTCATATACTTGTGTGTTTTTATTGTATATGTATTTTGTATTGTCAACGACGAATTCGTCGAGTTCGCGATCAATAGCGTCACCCACATACCATTTGTCTCCCCTCTTTTCCGAAAACACGACGTTTCGGTCGTCAATCTCGTCGTCTATAGCCAATATTACTTTATTACTCAATTTCGGATGCCCGTCTTTCGGATACTGGGATTTTTCCTCGATTTTCGTGCATATATTTCACCGGTAAGCATGTTTATTTTGTGTTCGAAATAATCGATTTCACCGGTTTTTATGGTATGCACTTTTAGTCTTTTCTTCAGCTCCTCGCTGCCGTCCTCGTAGTCAAACGGGTTTAAATACTCTTCGGGATAGCGCATTTGTAAATTGTGCGCTCCCTCGGTATTGTCGACTTCGAAATACGTAATTATTTCGGATATGCTGTTCCACTTGTTTAAGAATCTCGCAAATTCCAATACTTTATAATTTCCAAATTCGGGAATACTGTTTTCTTGAAGCATGAAATATTCTCCAACAACGGACATGCCCACGAAACACCGCGAGTCCTTTGTCGGATAATATACGTCGGTCGTGGAAGTTTGCTATTTTAATTTTATATAGTCCGTCGCTCCCTCGTTGTACAATATACCGTAAGACTGATCGAATCGCGGCACAGTCTCTCGAGAAGTGGCCCGAAACGGCACTCTCGATTGCATCCAATAATGCGGATAGTTGACATTTTGATGATCGCTCTCGTAATACCCGTACGGATAATGCACGCCGCGCACCAGCAGGTGTGATTTTTCGGTAGAGTGTTTTATCATTTTACCCCATCTCAATAACTCCAAACCCAAGGTGGCTTTCGGATGTGTGTTTGTGGCAAAAGTCTCTTTTCTACTCAACGTTCCCAGCTGTCCGCGTTTTATCGTCGGGTGCAATATCCGCGAAGCCGTAAAGTCCCAGCGCGTTTTCGGTGTAATTTTGATTTTATTATCCAAAGCGAACGCGTAATTCGTATACTGCGAGCACATCATCTGCAAGTAACCAAAACCGATTATAGTTTCGTGCGCTATAAAAGTACCGTCGCTATGCCATCCCTTTTGATACGGCTTCTCTTGGACGGCGAGATTTATTTCCGCGCGAATTCTATCAAAAGTCGAGACGTTGTTGCGCGTATATTTTTCATATATATCGTAGTCACAGCCATGATTGTATATCTGAGCCACGAGCCACGGTCCGTACATGGATACGGCGTTCGGTCCGTCTCGGGCGTAACCCAAACTCAAGAATGGATTTTCTATTATTTTCAATATGATATCGCGTATCATCGATGATTTTAGTTCGCGCATTTTGTACGGAACGAGCATAAAGTACGCCAACAGAGTTGGGAAAATTATGGATATTTGAAACCAATTTTTCCAACCAGAGTACCAGTTTTTATTATACTTGCCGTCGGTCGTGCCGAATCGACTTTCCATCAGATTTATAACTGTAGATATATAAATTTCAACGTTACGTATCAAGCGCACGACCAACAGCAGTCTTCTTTCCGCGTCTTCTTTTTTAGCGCCAATAGTTTTAATCACGATTTTTCTAATACCATCATCACCACCAACACCACCATTATCGTCATTTATAAGTTTCCAATTTTTAATCATATTTTCGATTCGTTCATCGTCCACCTCGTGCGATAAAACGTTTAATTTTTTCGATTTTTTTGAATAGTACGCGTTCGCATAGAGTAATTTAAAAGCCATTATGATTTCGTTTATAGCGAATAGCGTAACCGTGCCGAAATCTTCGTCGTTGTGCGTGTATTTTATGATTTTACCAGAATGCTTGTTTAAATTCTCGTCGCTGTATAGTGTATACGCCAACGGCACCGGTATCTACCCATCTATACCATCTGTGTTCCATAGCTCGATTATCAACACTCGACGACAACATTGTTTCCGGCGAGTCGAATACAATAGCATCGCGAGCCAAACGAACGGACCACGATTTATCGTTGTTTTCAAATTTATAATCAACCGATTCTCTTTCCGCAATATGATCGATGATTTTATCATCATCATCATCTGGTGATGTTGGTATAACATTAATTTTGCTATCGGGAACACCGGTTTTATTACTATCACCACCACCACCATTGTCTTTGACATTTTTATTCACATCAATCGCCAATACATCATTTGGTTTTGGTTTTGTTGTCCCGTCGCCGCAAGAACACCGACACACCGAATACATGATCGCAATTACGATTATTAATACGAAAAATATTAATATATAAGTGTAGTTTATAGAAGTGTTAATCGGTTCGCGTTCGGCGTACAGACGCCGATAACCCTCGATCCCATTATACATAATATTATATAGTAGTGATGTTTGCTACCACTCGACAATCATCACTATATATTATATTGTTAAATATTAATACAAATTATTGGTTAATTTTTTCAATTGAAAAATGCAAAACAAAAATCCAATTTCTACATTGTTAATCGACGATACGAAAAACATCGATAGCAAATACGATGAAATAAGAAATAGAGAAATTCAATATAGTTTGCCGGATTTAAAAAATGTATACGATAGATTTTATGAAAAAGGTAAAGAGTCTTTCGAAATTAAAATGAATAATTACATTAAAAATACTGTTTTATCCGTATTGGATAGAGTTATATCGCATAGCAATGAAATTGTAAAATACAAATCTATCTACGACAAATTTAAAGAGGTGAAAACAAATTGTGATTTTAAAGAAAACGAACTAAAAATTATTATAGATAATTTTAATAAAGACGATGAAATACCCACAGTGTACAAAAAAAAATACGACAGTATCGGTAAAGCGAACATCATAAAAGAAATACTTTACTCGGTTAGAGTCATGTGAAAAAAAATTGAAAAAAACTCTAATGTTAAAGACAAAATAACCGAAATCGTGCAGAAGATGAGAAATGAGATTTTCGTGTTAGAACACACGCGCAGCGGATCCGCGAAAAGTGCAACAACTCAAATACGATTTGGAGAAAAAAAAAGAAGAATATTATAATTTATTATTGTATTTTACGGATGCTTTGAAACAGGTAAATATAAATATACACATAGCCGAAAAGAATATATCGGATATTATAGAATTATTGAAAAACAAACAAGACACGAGTGACGTGATATAGTTTTTAGAAGAAATTCTCAACAAAAACACTACCAAAACATCAAACTCTGAAAATCTTACGCAAACACAAAATGAAAATTTTATAGAACTCGAAAATTTTGATTATGAAAATTTGGATTTGTCATTATTAGATGATTTAGAAAAGCCTGTTTCACTACAAGACCCCGAAACCACTGTTCAATACATTCCGACGGACCGATATCCGCAAAATATCACGCCTACGGATCAATATACGCAAAATATCACGCCAACGAACCAACAGCAACAAAATATTACTCAAACGACTGTTTTATATTCGCAAAATATCACACCGTCGGACCAAAACACTGCTCAATTTTCACAAAATCCAATAGATATTGATAGTCAATTGCTGATGGAGCGTATTTTTAATAATGATAATACTAAATTTATGGGAGTCATGAATCAATATGAAATAGATGTTGGATTTATAAAAAAAACGGATGAAATCATTAAATTATGTTTGGCGCTAGAAGCACCACAACCAGTAGTTGCTTCTGATGCTGCTGCTGCCGCTGTTGCTGCTATTGATAATGTCGCGGCTGCAGTTGTTGCTGCTGCTGCTGCTGGTGATACTCTTCCAAAAACAAATGTTAAAAAATCAAAAAATATACGACGTGGATATAAAGAAAAGCGAAAAACAATCCGCACGGACAAGGAATATGAAAAAGCATTTAAATTAGCTCCCGTCGATAAAATCGATTAAAAATTTTATTACATACACACATATATTTTAACTTAAAATAATATACACATATATTTTTTTCCAACTTACAATATACACATTTATTTAATATAGAAAATTAAATTATTCGCGATTGCATTGCGTAGACGTCGTAGTTGCGGCGTCTCACGAGTTGTTGTTGTTTTTCACGCGCACGAGTCGTAGGTTTTTTTTACGATTCACGAGATTTCTACAAAATCTAGCAGCTACCGTTGTCGCACCCGTCGAGTCGTCTTCTTCTCGACGACAACGAGCATAATTGACATGATGATAATAATTTTGCTGTTGTTGCTGCAACTGATATTGATGCTGCCGTCGCTGCTGATGATAATGCTGCCGATGGTTATAGTAATGGCGATATCTGTTTCTTTTGCCTATAAATCCAAAATTAAAATTAGAATGATATACGTCTTCATTGTAATAATCACTACGATTATTATCATTTCTACGACGCTTCCATTTTTTTCGATCACAATCCTCTCTACCATCATCATCATCATCATCATCATTATTTCTCTTACAATCGTGATCGTTTCTTTGCGAAAATTGAAATTTTTCCAAAATCATACGAGCATTCTTTATATTTATATTTTCAATTTTATAATGTTTGGTGATTGTGTTTATGCATCGGCAAAAAGAACAGTAAGCGTTATTACGAGAACAATACGGCAGAGTGCCGATATTGTATTTCAAATAACCTATCAAGTATACCAATTTTCGAGAATGCAAAGCCCGATAGAACGGCTGGTGTTTATACGATAAAAACGTATCAAGAGAAGTGCCCGGGTCGCAATTCACGTACACGGTTTTGACATTGTATCTATCCAACAAGTCTTCTATACTGTTTACTAAACCGTGTATGGATGCATTTACAAACTGTCCATTTTTCATAATTATAAGAGAGAATTCTTTGAAAAAGTACAATTTAGAATCCTTGTATTTGGATGATTGTCCTATTTTCTCGACACGCGAATCGCTAGGATTGTAAAACTCATTTTCAACACAGATTTCCATACAATCCCCACAACCATTCGGATCTTTGCTCAAGTGATTGGACGATGAAATATTACCGTTTACAGCGTTATCATACATAGCTGCGAAATAACCAACGTACTCTCCGTTTCTACAACCATCGTCGCATTTTCTATTGGTATTTTCCACAAATTGCGAATACATATTCATCATTTTCTTATTAAAACTATCGACGGCGATCATCTTATAGTCGGTTCTAGTGCATTTCGGCGGATACCATATATTGTATTGTATGGCTGCTGATAATTTTGTATTTTCCACGGCTACGGGTATGGTTATTCCGTTTACATAGATAAGTATGTAGCGACGCGGAGAATTCGAACGGGTTTTTTCGATATTTTTAAGCACCAACTGATTGACCTCTTGAGTCGGTAAGTTTATGAATTCTTTTTCGTCGTGAAAATCATTAGCGTCCAACAGATCGTCGAGTTCATGTTCTGGAGGACGCCAATCATTGATGATTACATTTACACTATTGGTGTCGTCGTCGCTACTATCATCATCATCATCCGCGTCTTTTCCGTTGTCATCTATGATTTTTACTTTTGCATTTTCAACTGTATCGTCGAGTGGAATCATCGCTTCTTTCGTCGGTTGTTTGTCATTTGCGACTTTGGAGACGCTATTTTTGTTGTCGTAGTCGTCATCGATGATGCACGTTACAAGATTTTCTACTGTTAACAAAGAAAAAAATCACAATATTTAATAATTTAAAATCGGAATAGATGGAAAACGCACAACACTCGATAAACTTACCGATAAATTTTTCATCGACAATGTTGTTGTTATTATTGCTGTGGTAGTGGTCGTCGTCATTATAAATAGTTACTTCGGAATCGCTATAGTCCATTTCTCCATCATCGTTTATGATAAGTACGCTATTGTCATAACCATCCGAATCGTTCATTATGGACGATGGTGTTGATGAAAATTCAAAGCGGAGCGAGACTACGCTACACCAGTCTCTCCGGATAGCTACGACCGACTAACGAATTGATTTTTTTTCACAATTATATAGTAGAGAGTGAGATCTTGATTAAATATATACATATATATATTAAATGATGGATAAAAATACATTACCAACTTTCAAAGACGTGAATGTAATGTCTAAATTGGTGTTTCGTAAAATAATTTTCCCGGGATTTACGCAGATGCAGCGCGAAATGAGAGATATATTACATCCTCCTTGATTCGAGAACCCAACTCTGGATAAAAACGTACCGATTTGGGTTTTCGAAGACGAGACTCCGTATTTACCGTATATACCTAAAAACACGTCGTTCGGAGTTTACGTATTGCCCGAAGGTATAACGTCTTTGTACACAGTACCATTTGCCGCGTATTCGGAAACAACTAAGTTAAAAGAGGTGATATTGAATAAAGAAGTAGGATATTTAGACGGATTCGAACCCAACGCTAAGAAAAGAAAACCGAATAACAATATAAAAGACTATGTGGATGTTAAAATCAAAGACGATTGTAGAAAATTATCATCATTGAGGCGAGAGTAGGAACACGAGTTGAATTATTACGCTAATAGGAGTATGAGCGATGATCGAAGAAAACTAAATAAATCGAATAAGACGCCGTCGACGTCGGCATCGCTTACGAGCGATATTTACGACTATTCGAAAGACATCGTTTACAATGACTATGTCGATTATGACGACGACGACGACGACGACGAAAACAATCCATTTTCGAATGTAAATTTATCGAAACTTGAACAAAAGTTTAGCACAGACGAGAAAGAAATTATAAAGAATATTGTGGATAATAAATTGATAACCCCCATTGGTAGTTATATTGGAAAATTAAACGAAGTTATCGGTCATATAAATACACACGGTAGTGGTATAAAAAATAATAAAATGCGTATAATTTATAATTACATAGCTATAACTTTGTACAACCGGGTGTCCAATTCGTATTCAGATGAAACTTTTAAAACAAATTTGAAAATCATAGAATCCGTACTGAATTCTGAACGCGAGACTACGCTTGGATATTTTTTTTTTTTAAAAACCCCAGTAAAATAGTGTGAAAATGTCGTCGAGTTCACAAATCATCACGGATTATGAATCCGTCATTTTACCGGAACCACCAGACGGCAGCCGCAGTAGCGTTACCGCGTCGCATCGTAAAACCATCAAATATGGCGAATACTTTAATTACAATCAACTCATGCGTATGCAGATTGGTGGCGAAAAGATGACATACGATGCGAATAAATTACGCAGATCTACGATTAAATCGCTCACCTCGCATTTGAATCTTTTGAGTAAAAACAAGCTAGAATTGCGCGATTTGGAGGGTAAAAATATAAACGACGTGTTGAATCGCATGAGAACGACAAACGGAGACGCTCTCTCTTCCGGCTACAAACTACAGATTGGTAATTCTATAATGAAAGCTTTAAATAAAAAAGTCACGTACAATCCAAACGAATATCGAAAGAATCGGGCCGCGCGTTCGGCTCATAGCGCCGACGAGGATTTGATGAAAAAATTACGATTCGTAATAGATTATTCGGCTAGAGTGATCATCAGTTCGTTGCGTACGAATATTATAAACTGTCTAGCGGATTATGACGCGGCGCTCACCGTGCTATTATCCGTATCGACTCTTTTGCGCGTAGATGAGATACACCAGTTGACCATGTCGGATCTGGATAGTACTCTGCACAACAATACGATTTATATAAAGTCGAAAAATTCGAAAAACGACAAACGCCACGTGATCCGAAACGTCTTGTTAGAGACAGTCATTTATAGCATCATCATCAATAGGTAAAAAGCATTGCGATCGGTCATAGGTACCGACAACAATCGCGCTATTGATTTTAAATATTATAGAATGAACAAGAAATATGTATTATTGACTTCGGTGTCTCAGATGAATAGGTCTTTGCGTAATTTTGCCATGATAATCGGAGTGCGTATAGATAAATTGGGATTTAAAAAATTTCGAATATTTATGGTTTCGGTTTTGGTGGAAAACCGAGCGTCAGACGTGGCTCAATATGCCAATATGCATAATAAACTGTTC